AAGTTATTACTCTTCAAAACAGTTAAAACACATGTAGGTGGCGCCCCCTACAAAATTGACATCAAAATCAAATTTCTCATGTCAAAAAACTTCTAAATACCAATTTTCATCCAAATATTGACGTTACTTCAGAAATCATTTGGAAAAAATAGAAATAAGAACGAAACTTTTACATCCTGTATTTCCGAAACTAAGCATTTTAGGACATACATTTATACGATCTTTTTTACTTATTTGTATATGCAGAATATGCTGCCGAAGTTTCCGGAATACAGTTCGGGCCACCCTGTATCAGGGTGTTCAGTTCTACAGGGTGGCGCCTCTCTATTACGGACACGACGCGCGACGCGGAGGATCCAAGGAGAACGATAGTTTATATCGAAATGAAATTTTGGGAGTATAATATGTACGATAACTAAAAGTATTTTATAAAGATATATAGAGTACACACCATTATTAATTATAGTAAACATTATGTTATGTGTGTTTGTGAATTTTTTGTATGTAATTTTTGGATTATGTTCGACACTGTTTTTTTGATTTGACACTACACTGATGAAGGCTGTAATGTTTGGCCGAAACGTTTGTTTTTCCTTTTAAAAATGAAATAAAGATATGAAAAACCAAATGAAAACTTAATTAGAGTTTTCCCGAACCTAAATCCTAAGAAAATAAAAAAAATCAGGATATATAGAGTTCTACAGCGTGTCCCCCAAAAAGTTGTTAAATTTCATTAAAGTTGTTTTTTTGTAATTGAACACTCTAATGGATTTTCAGATTCTAAGAAAAAATAACGAAGAGTTTCATTAAATAAATATATGCCTCAAACGTAAGGTTTTTGACATATTTCCCATTTTGTAAAATCGAAGAAAACACTTTAAATTTTAATAAGCTAGCTTAAACAGCAATACCTAAATTGTAATTTGCTCTGTATAACCTGATATTTAGTTATAATATTGGTCACTTATCAAAGCAAGTTAATCCTTTACAGTTGAGGGTTGGTCCTTTGGTGTTACACAGCAAAATAAAAACACTAAATCACCACAATACACCAAAACACTTTTACTTTTACACTGGACGCGCATTTCGCTAACCATGTTAGCATCATCAGCAGATGATTATAAACTAAAGTATAATCTACAAGTTGAGCGTTTATATACTCGCTCAGTGGGCATCGAGTGGGCGTGGCAAAATCTAGCCAACCGAGTCAGAGCCCACTGAGCGTAACAGTTAGATTTCCGCCACTAGAGTAGTAGGAACAAAGAACTTGAAGGAATTGGACCGTTGTCTCTGTTCATACTATCTTTACATTTATTAATTCTGATGCTTTCATATGCATCTAATTGCCTGTAATTTGAGACTTGTTTAATTAATTTTAAATTATTAAGATCTCTACAATGTTCTTTATCAACAATATGTTCGGCAACGCAAGATTTATCCGGTCTACCATATCTTATCTGAGCTAAATGTTCTTTAAATCTAGTTAATATTGATCTTCTAGTTTGCCCAACATATTTCTGATTACAATCTTTACAAGAAATTTCAGAAATACCCGACCTTTCCAGTGGAGGTGTTTTATCCTTTGGATTACCTAATAATTGTTTTAATTTATTATTAGCACTATACACAAGTTTATAATTGACATTCTTAAAAATTCCTTTTAGACCACGGGATAACTCTCTATCAAATGGTATTGAAAAAATCTAGGGGTGGCTGTGATATATCTTTTGTTAATTTAATAAAAATTAAAGGATGTAGAGTAAAACATTCAAAGGTAATAAAAAGATATACGTTTAAAACATCATTACAGAAATAAATCTAGATATAAATGTATAATTATGTGACAAAAATTAGCTAGATGAAATGAAATACTCAAAATGCTTTCTTTCCTGTTCACTGCATAAAATGATTGTCTCTTTAAAAGATCTTTTCATGTTCAGAGGAATATATGGGGTTCTACTTCGAAAAGCAATCACAATCATTTCTGTCATGTTGCCGACAATAGTTGGTCGAGTTTTGGAATCACTGTCTTTAACAATGTCTTGTCAATTCTCGCTAATGTAGGATAAGTATTAACTCATTAAAGCTAGCTTGATAAAGCACTAATGGTGATGGAGCTGCTTCAAAAATGAAAAATAAACTGGTTGTAGTTTTAATCTTTAACATCTACATGCAGAGTTGCAATATCATTGTCGTTATTTTTTTTTATTCGACAATAGTTGAATGGTAATTATTAGATAAGTGCAAAGACATGCAGAAACAATGAAGAATTTGTGTATATTTTATAAAAAAAATGAGTGTATTAAATCCATGTTTTTTATTTCATGTAATCTATTGTATTATATCCGGATTACACATTTTATTATATTAATTAATCAATGTCATGAAACTTTACATAACTGCAGTCATAAATATCATATTTTTTGTACCGGGTGTCCCACTAAGAATAGCTCTCGGCTGTATCTCGGAAAGTGTTAGCCGTAGGACTTACGGAAAAAAATATTTATAAATAAAGAGGCTATGAGAAATTGCTGGAAATTATTTTTAAGTTTTTAAAACGGCCGCTAGGTGGCGCAACTGCTATGGAAAATAAGAAAATAGATTTTTTACAGAATTTTGCCTAGATAATGGGTACTATAAATAATAGCTTCATAATCTTCAGTAAATTTTGGATTTTTTTTTGTTAGAACCATTATCTCCTATCTGCTAAAATAAAGTGGTGGGGGAAGGTTAGATCTATCTTTATTTAAATGTTAATAACTCCGGTCTGGACGATCAGAATCCAATAAACGAGGGCTCGTTTAAAGGAGCGTTTCTTACTCTATATTATACCATAAAAATAATAATAATAAGGTTTGAACGTAGACGCTAGGGGGGCGCTTTCTTACAATTTAACAAACATAGCGCGTTTTTTCAAAAAAAAATTAAATACGATAATATGTGTTATTTTAGCTGATAGTAAAGAGTAGTAAAAGCTTAAATAGTCAGCGAAAACCGCATCTTGATATCTTCTTTCAAACCGAAGATATTAGCAAAATTATAATAAATACCAAAAAATAAGCCCTTAATTACCTTATTTTTAAAATACAGTATCAGTAGTCCTCTTGATTAGGCCCATTCTAACAAAAAAATAAGTTAGAAACAGTTAGTTTATTTTAAAATCGACGAAATATCAGGAATACCATAATACCAGGTGTATTAATATCTAATAATCAAGATATTAATAATAGTGAACAAGAAACGATGATTTAGTGAAGTCATGGCTTTGGAAAAAAGCTAATACATAATTGCTTTTCGCGTAATAGTATAAACGTCAAATTGTTATTAGCTCAACATTTTGATAGTCTTAGCAGCGTTTTTTATCTTTTAAATGCTTTTTCAAAATGCCTTTATTATTTGAAGTAGTTGAAGTTGTTGGTCCGATTGAAGTTGATCCGTCCTATCCGATCCGTCCGTTCCGTCCGATTCGTCCGTTCCGTCCGTTCCGCCCGATTTGTCCGATACGTCCGTTCCGTCCGTTCCGTCCGTTCCGTCCGTTCCGTCCGTTCCGTCCGTTCCGTCCGTTCCGTCCGTTCCGTCCGTTCCGTCCGATCCGTCCGTTCTGTCCGTTCCGTCCGTTCCGTCCGATCCGTCCGTTCTGTCCGATCCGTCCGTTCTGTCCGATCCGTCCGTCCTGTCCGACCCGTCCGTTCTGTCCGACCCGTCCGTTCTGTCCGATCCGTCCGTTCCGTCCGTTCTGTCCGATCCGTCCGTTCCGTCTGTTCTGTCCGTTCTGCCCGTTCTGTCCGCAATCAGAAGATAAAAAACGCTGCTAAGACTATCAAAATGTTATAATAATGTCCCTGTTTGATGTTCCTGTTGTATCTTCAGATATTATAGTTCCTAAATATTTGTATTATTTGCATTGTTTTAGATTGCTGAGTTCTAAACTCCGGTCTACTTGTACATCGTCAGCCATTTTTAGATGTTCTGTTTTTGTCATGTTCATTTTAAATCCCCATTCTGCGTACTCCTCTTTCAATTTTCTGAGCATATAGTCATTAGCAACTATTATCATTAGCAACTATTACAAAGTATTACTAATTATATTAAATTTTAAAATTGGGGAGGCTATTGGTCCCGTCCGTTCCGTCTGATCCGTCCGATCCGTCCGATCCGTCCGATCCGTCCGATCCGTCCGTTCCGTCCGTTCCGTCCGTTCCGTCCGATCCGTCCGATCCGTCCGTTCTGTCCGTTCTGGCCGACCCGTCCGATTCTGTCCGATCCGTCCGTTCTGTCCGATCCGTCCGTTCTGTCCGTTCCGTCCGATCCGTCCGTACTGTCCGATCCGTCCGTTCCGTCCGTTCTGTCCGATCCGTCCGTTCCGTCTGTTCTGTCCGATCTGTCTGTTCTGTCCGTTCTGTCCATTCTGCCCGTTCTGTCCGTTCTGTCCGCAATCAAAAGATAATAAACGCTGCTAAGACTATCAAAATGTTATAATAATGTCCCTGTTGTATCTTCAGATATTATAGTTCCTAAATATTTGTATTATTTGCATTGTTTTAGATTGCTGAGTTCTAAACTCCGATCTACTTGTCCATCGTCTGCCATTTTTAGATGTTCTGTTTTGTCATGTTCATTTTCAATTCCCATTCTGCGTACTCCTCTTTCAATTTTCTGAGCATATAGTCATTAGCAACTATTATCATTAGCAACTATAACAAAGTATTACAAATTATATTAAATTTTAAAATTGGGGAGGCTAGTGAAGAACATTTATGTTAAACTTTGTCTATGGATCGAATTCGCTATAATTTAGAATAAAACTTATACAAAGAAACTTGCCAAAAAATTGAAATCATGAAAAACTCAATGGTATCAATCGAAGTTCACATTCAAAATTTATATCTATGTCATTAAAACAATTTTAGCACGCATCCTTTTTTTTTGGCTGCTTCATTTAAAAACCGCAACTTATCAAAACAATCTCCTACCGCTTGCTTTCCCTCTTCATTTCTTCTTCCATTTCTTCAGTGGAAGAAAGCAATCGATTAGAGAAGAAATGAGTTCCATTCGGCGTTAATCTCGTTGCCCGTATACACATATCATTAGAAATTGTGATTGTTTTCTTTATTTATTTATTAGCGAAAGTTCATTGAATATAATTTATCTGGTTTTCCGCGTACACGATAATTTTGTGAAAAGTTCTAGCATTTTTCTGCGTGCAGTTCAGTTAGTGTTGTGTTGTTTTACGTATTTAGAGGTATAATATTATAGTATTTGTGGTGTTTGGGTAATTTTGAGATTTAATCTTATTGTTCTTATTATTAGATCAGGATTAATATGATTTTAAGAACGAATATCTGTGAATTGTTTAAGTCTCATAAAATCATATCTCAATTATAAAATTTTCAAAAGTAGATAAACTGGGAATATAACCTTATAAAAATATTTAATAGAAAATAAATGCATTTGCGGTTTTTAGCTATATAGCAGTGAACTTTGTTTTCTTGTTGCTAATGTATTTATATTCTCCTGAATTTTAGAAGTTTTCTAACAATTTTAATATTTTTGAAGATCACATATTGATCTGAAAGAACACAATATTTTGCTTATTGTTAGACACTACATTTTTTAGCCGACCATACCGACAGGTATTTCAAATTAATTTCACTCAAAATGAGTTATTTGGATCATAAATGTCCTAAATACAAAATATTTTCATTGTGTCTGTCTGTCTCTCTGTAACACAATAACTCAAAAACCGCTAAACCGATTTTAACCAAATTTGGCACAAAAATACTCTGGCACCCGACAATCTGGCCATTAGTTTTTGGTGGGGGTGGGGGGTTGGTAAGGGGGTATGGGAGGGGGTTAAAAATTTAAAAAAATCGTAACTCCAAAATTACAGTAGCTAGCGAAACGCGGTTTTCAATTTAAGATTAGGAATAATATTTGCAACAAAATTTGTAATAACATCAAAATCAGTCAAAGTCGCAGTTTTTGAGATAAAAAAAAATGGAAAAATTCCTTTACTTTGAAGCTAAAAGAACTGCCTACCAACTTTTTATTAACATATTTTAGTATGGGCGGCTATACGTGCCTCCCAGCGCCAATTTTTTTCAATTATCGTTATCATTTTGATGTAATTTTTTAATATGACGAGATGGCTTTGGTGACAATTATTGTAACTTCATATTACGCTGCATTAACTCTATACTAAGCTAAAAAAAACATTAAAGACTAACAATACAGTTCTGGTTTTAATAACGATAACAGAACTAACGATAATACTCAAGTATACTTATAAATAGAAAAAAAACCATAATTATATACAGCTTGCTAAAAAATTCCTGAAAATAGGGCTAAATAAAAATATAATATAAACACTAAAAATATAACACTTTAAATTTGGCCTAATATTTCTCCGATGCGTTGTTTTGCATCTGAGTCTAGAAATATTAAAACAAAGGACAGAACGTTTCCAGACACAAATCTATTTCCAAAAAAACATTTTTTCTCGAATTTTAAACTACACCATTTAAAAATCCTTTTTACTCAATATAAACATAAACGACAACCTTCTTAAGGCCAACTGGCAGTAAGCGCCATTAAAAATAAAGAAGAGTACGGGCCAAGTAATGACGTCTAGGGCTTGACCTCCCCAGATTGTCATTCCCCAGCCGTCTTTGACATCGTTTGTTTTTCGATCGTATGATATTTGTGATAGTTATTACATTGCTTATGCTTATATCTATAGATATTCTCTAGAATGCAATTGAATATATTTGATCTGATTGGTTTGAAAAGTGACTATATTATTTTAATTAAAAATAAATGTAGTTATTTCACAAATACTGTAACAGTAATATTTCCCATCAGGCAATTATATGAATACCCGCTTCAAAAAATAATTTAGTCAATTTAAAAAAAATCATCCTCATATAATAACAATAGGCACCTACAATTTTAACGATGCATCTGTTAGTTAATCCGAATGGTAATCAGTTTAATTTTGCCAATTTACTTCAAAATAACATTATTATGTACCTGAGCAAAGAAGAAAAAAAAGCGCACACAACCGCGGTTCTTTTTTCGACTACCTTGTCGCGTACGATTAAAAGACCTATCATGCTCTACTTCCCAACCACAATGCTAGGATATCTCCTCAAATTTTAGCGTATTCTTTTAAACTAAACGGCAAACGAACAGACGTTTGCCAACAATACTGGCGGGAAGAAGAAAAGAGTGAAACTTTTTGCGATTTTTGTTCATTTCGTCTATTTTTTCCGATACAGTGGGACAAAGCATAAAAGCCTCCGGTCAGTTCTTGTTGGGTCCAGTGGTCCGCTGTATTAGTGATGTACCTGCAGAAGTGGATGTTGTTTTTGTGGGCGCTCAGCTTCACTGATTTTGGATTTGGGGTGATTCCGGGTGAGGAAGAACTGATTTTTGATCCACCGGGTAAGTTCGTAATATTAGTATACAGTATGGATTGCCTTTACAAGAGGAAACGCTTTTTTATTATTGACATTTTGAGAAAAATGTATTCTTCATAAAATTTTATGCTTTTCCTAAATTGGTTAATCCCGTTTATACTTTTCGAAATGTCCATTCCGTTTCAGAGAAAATTAAGAAAAACATGAAAATAGTGTTGAATTTTTTCTGTCCTAAAAATCAAAAGGCGTTTCTATGCAGTGGCGGATCTAGGGTAAAATACGTCGTGGGTAAAGACAAAATTTGGCGCCCCCACAATTCAAAAAAGGTGTAGACACCACTTCCCCCTTAGTCTTAAAAACCCCGCGAAGATCACGAAAATACCTGCTTACTACAAAATATTGCACGAAATTGCGCTTAAAATTTGACTTTTCTAGCCTTTACAGAAGCCATTTTTCACTTATTAATCTATTACTTTATTAAAGTTAATTTTTTCGGCTATTTCATACTCTATACTTAATACTCCCAAGTCAGTAAGTCTCTCCTGTGTCATAGTTAAACGCCTAAAATCTTTAATTAATTTAAGATTACTAACCGACCGCTCACATAACACAGAAGTGACTGGCATGGTCAGAAATATTCGCAGCGCGGTCTGCAAGTTCGGATAATTCGGAATTAAGCAATATTTTTCTACCATATTAAGAATATCTAAACAGCTAGCTGCTTCCAAATTTGGAAGCAACAAGCTTGCGTGATTCTTGAAATTTTCCAGTTCAAGATACAGCTCTGTTGCAGCCAAGTCGTTAGCATATTTAATTGATAAATCTGCAGCATGTTTTTATTTATTTCTTCTAGTGGTAATGATGCCAGTGACTTTCCAGAAAGGAAATAAAAATCTTCGACAACACCTTCCATAGCATTAAACCTCCAGGAAAATTGCTCATTTATTTTATCCAGTGATTCAAAAATTTGAATTTTGAGTTGTTCTTGGGTTAATGTACCAATTTCGTCATCAGCGTTTTCATCGAAAAATCTTTTTACTTTTTTTGTCCCTTTTTCTGGGAGAACAGGCTTAATATTGCTTGCCTCTGCAAGGATCTTTCCTTCTTTAAAGCAATCGTCGACTTTGTCTCTAAACTCAGCTAAGAAACTCTATTTTAATATAATAATAGCTCCCGTATATAGCGTTTGACGCCTTGGGAGTAGCACGGTACAGTTTGCTATGTTAGAGCCGTTCGCGTATGCATGTTCGGTATGCAAGGAAGGTAATGTGGCTAGCACTACGCTTCAACCGCCAATTATTACCTCAGGATTGTGAATCCCAAGTACTCATTTAAGGCTGAGTCATAAAAATAGTCGGCTGATGAAATGCCGGGTGTAGGATTCGAACCCACTACCTTCAGATTGGTAGACGAGAGCCTGTACCTCTACGCCACCGAGTACCTTAAACGCTATTTTAAAAAGCTATTTTATTGTATGATGTTTGCATGGTGATTAGAGTTTTTACTACTGGTTTCGGACATACTTATGTTTTGCCGCCCCTGTGCCGAAATTTTACTTGTAGGTATGATGTTTGCAGAAACTACTAACATACCTTATGTGTGCATGCGGTGCGTGATTAGAGTTTTTACCTATTGATTTCGGACACATTTTGGCGCCACTGCGGCGCCCCTGGCGCTTGGCGTCGTGATCAGGTGCCCACCTTGCCCCCGCCTAGATCCGCCACTGTTTCTATGGTAACATCTCAACACTCAATTTCGTTCTTTGGTAGATAGTTATTATTAATTTTGATTAATGTCATATTCTTTGCTGTTGTTAAAGTATCACATTTTGCGATAAATATCATCACCAATTCTACGAATAACAATCTACCAGAGAATGAAAACAAAGTTATATTACCATAGAAACGCGTTTTGATTTTTAAGACTTAGAAAAAATTCAACCATGTTTTTATGTTTTTTTTTCAATTTTCTTTGAAACAGCATGGAAATTTGGAAAACTATAAACGGGATTAACCATTTTAGAGCAAGCAAAGACTGCATTTTCATGAGAAAGTAAATAATAAAAAAGTTTTTCCTCTTGTAAAGACAATCCGGGGACATACTGTATATTATGCAAGACCAAGACTCTTTTGGTATAGTCATGCAGCCTAAAGCCTCAGTCAGAATCTCAAAATTTGTGGACTAAATTACTGGTTTCATTTAAAATTTATATAGTTATATAGTTGATATCAAATAAGCTTTTAGTCACGTGATTAAGATTGACCGGCACAGCGTTGCCCACTTTTACATATTTTCTTTTAATCAAACTATTTTAGGAAACAAAAATAAATTAATTATACAATATACAGGGTGGCGCACCTCATTCGCCTCGGTTGATTACACGAAAACGGAAAGATGTAGAAACAAAATATTTTGTGGGTATATGTGGGAAGGCAATCTACATCAATCCACACCAAAGTTATAGTTTTTCTTATGAAACACCCGTTATTTTATTTCATATTTGGATCCTTGGACATAAAATAAGGCATTTATTTTAAGGGTTAAATATTTTTACAGGCTTTGGTTTCTGAGATATTTAAAGATATATAAATATGCATGCTATAATAAAAAAGATGTCAACACTCTGTATATTGCTTTTCAGAATTAATTCTTGTGCTGATTTTTACGCCAAAGAAATAAACTTTACTGAAAAAAATTATTGCTTCCTTTAATGTATACAGGGGTATCAAAAAATTGTTGGTCTATTTTAAATATTTATTTTACATAAAAACTTCGATATTTCAAATACAACACCCTGTATTTTTTAAAATATATCGAAGCATGCAATATGTTTTTTATGAAGCTCTGCGAAATAGAACAAGTAGTTTTTCAAAGGAGATCGCTTATCAGGGAGATTCTTATTTAGATATCTTTAAGCATAAGCCCAGTGGCGGATACAGAGGGGGGCCCATGGGGCCCGGGCCCCCCCTTAAATCTGTAAATTGTGTTAAATATTAGGTTTTTTTGTTAAAAATGGCGCCCTAAAAAGCATATTCTATATTACGTTTTATTTTGGACCCCCCTAAAATAAATTCCTGTATCCGCCCCTGCATAAGCCCTTGAGGCCAAGAAATAATTTTCCACATAAAATAAAATCACTAGTAACATGACATATCCATTCGCTCCGCCAGCAGGTACTGCTTTATTTTTCTTGATAAAATAGTGAATACTTACTTATTAAACTATTGTAGGTAAATTTAAGTAAACATATTGTTATAAATCTAAATAATAATGTCCATAAACTAATGTCGATTTCGAAAATAGTTACTAACTGTCACTAGAAAATTGCCATGGCGATACCAACCATCTTGATTGCCATTTTATTGAAAAATCGCTTTTTATTCAAAATCTGAGCTAGATAGGTGTAGCAGTCCCTAATAGAGTTTGAAAGAGCATTTGAATCTGCATCGATTTATTTAAAAAAAATACAGGGTGCTGTATTTGAAATAACGAAGTTTTTATATAAAATAAATCTTTAAAATATATCAGCAATTTTTGGTACTTTGGTACCCCTTTATAAATTTAAAGAAGCAATATCATTGTTCAGTAAAGTTTATTTCTCTACCTTTAAACTCAGTACAAAAATTAATTCTGAAAAGTAATGTACAGGGTGGATCAAATTCGACGCTTTTAAATGGAAACACCCTTTACTATAGGAGATAGACAAAAACTAATATCAGTGTCTGGAGCTCAATTTTTGTCAAAAACATGATGGTGAAAACCGCATATCTATATCTGTTACCGTTTCGGAGTTACGGGGTGTTTTTCAAATATATGCATTTTTAACAAATCGCTGTAACTTTTTTGCTATGGAAAATTTTGTATTTTTATGAAAATATTTCCAAAGCAACTTTTTACGTAGAATTTAATGGTTTAAGTATAATTTTTTTAAAATTAATAATTTAAGAATTATCAACAGAAAATTTGATTTTTTATATGGGACACCCTGTACATTTTTAATTTATTGAAAAGAACTTAAAATTACCTTTCCAAAAATATAACACACTTGATATTTTGCTCGATTCCTCTTCGAGATATAGAGTATATAAAAATTCGCCCGCTTTAAATAAGAAGGCTTTGAACGGCACCGGCTGTAATGCAAAAAAATTCTAGCTGTGAGCATCAATTAAAACGAAAATAATATTTGCTATGGGAGATCCAGAATTTTATAACAATTTAAAATATATTTAACCATCATCAACACATTTAAACTATATCTAATAACAATAAAAATAAATAGCAAACCAAGACATGAGATTTTGCTACAAAGTGTTCGACATATCGACCGTCTTCTGTTATGGACAGACGGGGCAGTTTTTGAAAATTTCTCACGGAATTCGTTAACTCGGTGGGGGTGAAAGATACCCTCTCATAACTGCTAAGTATTTTTAATTGTTGTCTAGATTATACAAAAGAATACAAGAACCTTATTCTTCCGCAAATATATCCATAGGATCCATGGGCACTAAGGCTCGGATCTTGGTTACCTATCTAATTATTTTTGAAATTGGCTGCAAAAATTTGCTGATAACTTCAGCGTTCAGAGGCGGTGCGTCGTCTTGCTGGAAAAATATGTTTTCGAGTTCCATTAAGGGCATATCATCAATAAGGGGTTCAAAGCCTACTAGTTGAAAGTGGCGAACTTTTAAAAATTCTGTATTTCGAAGGGGATTGTAACAAAATATCAAGTGTGGTGTATTTTTGGAAAGGTAATTTTAAATTCTTTTCAGTTAATTAAAAATATAGAGGGTGTCCCAAATAAAAAATCATTTTTTCTGTTGATAACACTTAAATTATTAATTTAAAAAAATATACTTAAACCATTAAATTCTACGTAAAAAGGTGCTTTGGAAATGTTTTCATAGAAATACTAAATTTTCCATAGCAAAAAAGTTACAGCGATTTGTTAAAAATGCACATTTTTGAAAAACACCCCGTAACTCCGAAACGGTAACAGATATTGATGTGCGGTTTTCACCATCATGTTTTTGATGAAAATTGAGCTCCAGACACCGATATTAGTTTTCATCTATCTCCTTTAGAAAAAGGTGTTTCCATTTAAAAGCGTCGAATTTGACCCACCCTGTACAGGATGTTAATACCTAATCTATTCTATTGTATCATGCATATTTAAATATCTTTAAATATCTCAAAAACCAAAGATTTTAAACATATTTAACCAATAAAATAAATGCCTTTTTTTGAGCCCAAAAATCCAAAAATGTAATAAAATACCGGGTGTTCCATAAGAAAAAATATAACTTTGATATGGATCTTAGTTCTGAAACAACCTGTATATTTCAAAATAATTTTAAATTGTGCACATTGCCTCCCCACATATACCCATAAAATATTTTGTTTCTACATCTTTCCGTTTTTGTATAATCGACTAAGCGGGGCGACTAATGTGTGCCACCCTGTATTTAAATGAGTCAAAAATACAAAGAAGAAATAGTCAAAATTTTAAAAGAACTTTCAGTGTAAAAGCATTTCTAGACGAGGTTTCTATTAATTATGGTAGTTAGTTATGTATGAAATTAGGTAGTTGGTAAACAATAGAAAGAGTCGCTCCTTTCACTAGATACACAAACATATAAGTGAATAAATTTTTGAAACTGAAATAATAGTATTATTATATGCGAAAGTACACGACTCCAAGTTACGTAACATTTAAAATTAATTTGAACAATTTCTGTATTTCTATTGTTTAAATGAAATTATTGATAGAAATATTTCTACAAAAATTGAGTATACAAATATATTTGCCAGTGCAATTAATTGATGCTTAGTAAGTGTTATATTAATTTATGTCTGTTTCCTAAAATATTTTGATTAAAAAAAAATATGTACCTAAAAGTGGGCAACGCTGTGACGGTCAAGCTTAATCACGTGACTAAAAGTTTATTTGGTATAATCTACAGGGTGTTTCAAAAAACATGTGCCATCTCTCGTGGGGTGATTCCTCACATAAAAATAAGATTTATTTTTCATATCACCATAAGTCCGATTCTGCTTTGTTTCCTAGCTACAGGGTGTTAAAGTCTTAATATTTTTTTCGATTTATTATAATTTTCTTCCAAGTACTTTTAGCGTTTTAAAGCTAAAAAAGTGCCGACATATTCACCAGGGACGTGCTGGAAAACCTGGTTATCACTGGAAAATTTTTCTAAAAAAATATGTACGCCACTGATTTTTTTTTTTTGTCAGCGAAATAGTGTAAGCAGTTTAATGCCGATTAAAAGTTGTATCTTGATATTTTTTTGTTTCCGGCCTCCTTGATAAGATAAACGCGCAATTTTATTAATTTGTCTTGATCCAAGTCTAATACCAACATTTAAAATATTTTAATTATTAATATATAATAAGTACTCATTGATTCCTCATCAAAAAATACGAAAAAAAGTTCCTATAAACATGGGTATGGAAAAGCATAGTTTTAGAGTTACAGGATGTTAAAACTTTTTAAAATTAGGTTTTTTGTAATTATCTTAGATACCATTACTTTTTTATTTAAAATTACTCTATGTAGGACTAATAGTAATAATAACTAATGGTAATAATATTTAATAATAAATTCGGTAAAATATATAATTTATTCATTTTATTAGCCGACCATACCAACACGTATGGTCCCAAGCAACACCGTTCAAGAGTATATACGTTTAATAAACGTACTATCCGTATAAATTTCGTATATTTTTTTAAAGGTATAAATAATATACGTATTTCATATTACTTTTTTATATGCAACGTATAATATACGCATATCAAAGGGCTTTATTTTCCGTTAATCTTAGTATATACGTTATATACGTGTTTTATAGTCTATAAAATGAATAACTTTGAATTTTGACCGTTATTTTTTACCAACATGGCAAATATAAAATCCCTCTATCAAAAAAGTTACTGATATTCTTTAAGTATTCTTTAAATTGAGTGCCTGAACGAATCAGATAGGTATCTCTTTTTACTTTCGTGTAATAGAAAAGGAAAATAATAAAACAAGTGACAGTTCTTCCTCTTCTTGCAAAAATCAACTCAAAATGGCATAATAGTCAAAAGTGTCATCAGCTTTTGACATTTCTAAATATCAGACTAAATGCCGTCTCTAATAGAACAGCCTAGGAGCGAAATTTATGACGTCACGCTAATTAGATACGGATTAATAAATATGTTGTAGAATACATGGAAAACATAATTATTCCTCGTATTTTTGGTTTGTATTTTAAAAATGATATAGTTTACATGAAATATACATAATATACAGTTAATAAATATAATATGTACCTATTTATAGTAATAAATACTTTGGCAAATAAACTATGAACCATACAAATGCAGCAAATGTTTTACAATATACAAATAATGGATAGGTACATAAGATAATAGGTAAAATGTAAAATATATTTTAAATTTTGGGGTTTGAAAATCGATCTAATTTAACAAAAAACATTCAATATATACTAATAGTGATGTATTATTATTTGCATTCACAAAATTTATATGTACATATATTTTGCAAGTATCAATGTTCGAAAAATTATATTTGCAAATAATACAATATCATGGAAAAAAATGCGTCAGTGATGGCTATGAAATAAAGATCGCTGTCATTTTATAATAATAATAATAATAATAATATCATCAAAAGATGACCACATATTTTTTAAAATTATTATTCTTAACACTAAAACTATCTACATTGACTATGGAGTACGATTTCAGCCATAGTCAAATATAAGGAATAATTATGTTAGCGTGACGTCATAAATCTCGCTCCGCGGCTGTTCTATTAGAGACGGCATTGCGTCAGCATGGCCGCAAGTTGCTAACCTAATAAAATTAACACTAGAAAAGCCCGCGGGAACTGTCAAATTCAAAGTTATTCGTTTCACAGACTATATGTATAAATTTATAAAGAAAAATAACATTTAATACACGTATTTGGTTTACGTGTAATCCTAGTATATCATAAATTGCTAATATATGTTTACCATCTTGTATAATATTGGTAAATGTATATACGATTATAAAAGGAATATAGAAATAGGAACCTTAAATATATACGTTGAAGTCGCGGACATTTTGCAGTTTATTATACGTTTCACATTCTTTGCCGTATACCCGGTATTAGATCAGTTTAAACGTATAATACACCATTGTGTGTTGCTTGGGGTAGGCTATTAAGATCGGCAAAAAAAAGTTTTTTTAATTTCACTCAAAATGAGTTATTTGGGTCATAAATGACCTAAATACAAAATATTTTAATGGTGTCTGTCTGTCTGTCTCTGTCCGTCTGCCCGTCTGTAACACGATAACTCAAAAATCGCTAAAACGATTTTAACCAAATTTGGCACAAAAATACTGTGGCACCCGAGAATCTGGCCATTAGTTTTTGGTGGGGGTGGGGGGTTGGTAAGGGGGTATGGGAAGGAGTTAAAAATTTAAAAAAATCGTAACTCCAAAATTACAGTAGCTAGCGAAACGCGGTTTTCAATTTAAGATTAGGAATAATATTTGCAACAAAATTTGTAATAACATCAAAATCAGCCAAAGGCGCAGTTTTTGAGATATTCCGTGTTATCGTAGTCCGTTTTTGGGAAAATCCGTGTGGAGAACTCCTAACTCCCATCGGACGCGACCCCAGGTGGCGGATAGGGGAAATAACCGCGGACCAAAATTGGAAAAATTTCTTTACTTTGAAACTAAAAGAACTGCCTACCAACTTTTTATTAACATATTTTAGTATGGGCGGCTATACGTGCCTCCCGGTGCCAATTTTTTTTATTTTAATTGTATTAATTGTGATTAACAAAATTGCGTTTATCTCATCATGGAAGCCGAATTATACAATATATCAAGAGACAACTTTTAATCGGCATTAAACTGCTTACACTATTTAGCGAACAAGAGAACAAAAGTCAGTGGCGCACATATTTTTTTTGAAAAATATTGCAGTGATAACCATGCACGTCTCTGACGAATTTGTCGACACCTTTTTAGCATTAAAATATGTAGCACTCATAGTAACTTATATCCTCAAAATTTCATTCGAATCACTAAAAGTACTGGGCAGAAAATTATAATAAATCAAAACATTATTAAGACTTTAACACCCTGTAGCTACGAAACAAAGCAAAATCGGACCTATGTTGGTATGAAAAATAAATCTTATTTTTACGTGAGGAATCACCTCACGAGAGATGGCACATGCTTTTTGAAACACCCTGTATATTTTTTGTAGTATTCTAATTGTGTTATAAAATATTATAATGTGTTTAATATCTTTTTAATTCTTTAAAAAACCCAATAGAAGACTTCGACAAACGCCAAAACGACAAGTACCAATCGTCGAAATACCCGTATCTTCCCTTCAACGGCAACAACGTCTATCCAGAACCGGAAGAGAGAGATCCGGACAGGGAGGAATCCAGGAGATGCACGGACAAAATGGAGAGGGCTTTGGATTCGATACGACGCAGACAGATCGCCAAGGAACGCATGCTGCATCTGCACGGGTACTCGTTACATCAGCCGTTGCGCAGTGCCCCTTTTGATATGTACGTCACTGATATGAGGGTGCGATTGCCGCCTTCAAAAACTTGGGTAAGTTCATAGAGTAAGAAATGAGTAGAGCATGTTTACAAAATAGACATAGATTCAAGGTTTGCATCACTTTGTTTTTTTTTGGCGGGCAACAATTTTTGTGGCCTTGCTTATCAATTTTTATCTTTTTATTTTGCATATTTGCCGTAAAATAAATTGTGTGTGCACTATGTGCGCATATTTGAAGTAAAACTTCTTTACTCCCGTCTGTCTGTAGATTACTCTATTTGGGTACCTCTATCTACGTGCCGAGTTTGGTTCCAATCGACCCATAATTAAGAAAAATCCTGATGATTTTGTTCATTTAGAGGCATCGGTTCGAAACGTCGAGGGCGTCATCCTGTAGCCCGTCTCCAATTATTTTTATTTATTTTATTTATTACAGAAAATCTTACAAACACACAATATATGGTAATTGCATGTAAGAGAGGGTAAACAAACAAAAGTCATCAACAATAATATAAACTTAACTATATCATATGTTAGACTATGACATTAAATGCTGCAACAATATTCCGAGCACTAGTATTAAACATATCAATATCAGTCTTAAGGATCAATTCACTGCACTGGAGGAGCATAAAATTAAGTGGTGAACAACCATTTATTTCACATTGAAATAGTTTTTCCTTTCTCATTCTTAATCCTACTTTTGGTACATAAAATGGTATAATATTGATCAAAGAACAATCGCCATATCTTAGGTTTTTAACTATATTAAATACAAATATCACAGATTGGATTTGCCTTCGTTCTTCCAGCTTCTGGAAATTAAAATCTCTAAGCATAGACGCATATGACATCATATAAGGATAAGCATTATTCCGTCGCACATACAAATATCTTAAAAACCTTTTTTGTACACGCTCAATGAGGTCACCGCTGGACAGCGTCCGGGGCGACCAAATAATGGAAGCATACTCTAACTGGGACCTCACCAGGGCATTGTACAGTAGAATCAAAGTATCACAGTTTAGAAAGTCCCTTGAATTTCTAATCACAAAACCAAGTTTCTTAAGTGCTTTATTCACAATATGTCGGTAGTGGTCATTAAATGTTAAATTAGATTGAATATTGACTCCCAGGTCTCTAATACCATCTCTTCTTTGAAGCGCTCTATTCTCTATTAAATATTTATGTTCAAGAAAATTCTTCCGAGTATAGGTCATAGTACAGCACTTTTCAACGTTGAGTAAGATTTCGTTTTCAATAAACCATTATGATACTGCATTTAAATCAATTTGAAAATCTCAACAGTCCTGTTCAGTCGAGATGGCCTTAAAAACCTTGATAATGCCGAAATCGACCCACATTTTTCTTCAATATCAAATCCTTAGTCTCAGCCTGATGAAGATGTCAAGATAAGAAAGAGGAAGATGTCGCTCACATAGCCTACCCGCCAAATTTGGTCGCGATCGATTTTGACGTTTCATACGTCAAAACTAACTGTCACAGTGACTAATTTGATTCATTGATGATGGAGTTTTATAGTGCACGAAACGTCGTCAAAATATCATTCGGGCTCCATCTACATTCGGAGTTTTATGCCCCTACCTCACATATAGGGCGATAGGGCCCGAATTACGACGCTCCAAAGATCCATTAAATCAGACGATTTTTTCGCCATTGATGATAAGGTTTCATAGTGCATGAAACGTCTTATAATCTTAAAATATCATGAACGACCGGGTCCTATATTCCGAGTTTCAGCCCTCTACTTCACATAGGGCCCGAGTTACGACGACGACGCTCCAAGATTGTTACCACTTCCACTCGCCAGCTCGTGTGTGACGGACTTTTTTAATCCCATTGCGCGTACTCCTTTGAGTTTCTCCCTAACTTTGAGTTTCACTTCAAAAATACTCCAAAAATACAAAATACTGGTTTTTACCGACAATAACGTCTGACCTCATCGCATTAGAGTTAAGTAGTATCTTGAAACTGAAGGGATAAATCGTTTAGAGTGGCCCAATTTCCAGACATTACTCCTATGATACAATGAAGAATATCCAGATAAAGCATAAAAACTCCATTGGTGTGGTGCGAAAGGATATTCTTAATATTAACCCCTGGTGGAGAATCTACTCAAGCTTAGTCTAAAACAAACGATGGATACTGGTGCTGTAGGTGATAGACCGAATAGACGCAATAGCAACTCAAAAACATGCGAAAATGTGTTGGTACACGGACGGATCCAAAAACGAAAAAGGATCTGGCGCAGGAATTTACTGCAGCAGTCCAAAGACAGATCTACCACAGTTTTGGAAAACACACCACAATTTTCCAAGCTGGGCTATATGCTATTGAAACCTGTGTGCAACTGCTGGTAGAACAGCAATACACCGGGAAAACAATATGCATATTTTCGGATAGTCAAGCCGCGCTGAAAGCACTTGAGGCAACGAAAAGCACGTCTATGACGATTCTTCATTGTAAGAAACTACTCAATATATTAGGAGATAGGAACAAAGTGTCTCTAATATGGATACCGGGACATGTCTGATGCCTAGAGGGAAATGAACGTGCTGATTTCCTCGCCAAAATTGGTGCAGGCTCGCCATTTGTGGGCCCAGAACCGACACTTAGCGTTCCAAAAATTCTCGCAAGAGACAGGCTCTGTGAATGGGTTAGGGGTGCGACGTTCCGGGACTGGAATGACAGTCCCGGAATGGAACATGCCAAGAAAATCCTAGCAGGCCCATTCAAACATAGAACAGGAGAACTCCTAAAGGCTGGTAGGAATGGAGCGCGTACACTCACTGCAGTGTACACGGCCACTGCCGGCTGAGATCACACTTACAGAGAATGGGACTGGTGGAAGACGCCGAATGCTGATTCTGTATGGAAGATGACGAAACAATGAAGCACGTTATGTGTACCTGCCCCGCTGGGGTCAGGACTAGGTTTGAAATGTTTGGCGAACCTATGCTAGACCTATAAGACCTAGGAGACATATCACCCTCGGACATAACGGCCTATGTTAAAAAGCTGGGTCTTGAGGGTGAACTTTAACGCTCTTTGTATATTAAAGAGCTTGTAGAAACTGAGCCACAATAGGCCCTCGCGGCCGCAGTGGAGGGTCCCATGGGACCCACTCTTAGTCAATACAATACAATAATACAATACTCAAAAACAAGCGAAGATGACAAGATGGTACTGAATATGCTCTGCTATTAGATATCTTCTGTGTTAGACATTCAAATTAGACTGAGAAATATTCAGAATACTGTGCATTCTATTACAATGGGCTAGTAGATACAGAGTTTCTCTAATTTATTTTAAAAGAAATTCTCCTTGTTGTCTAGATAAATTAAACAATTCAATTTTGCTTCAGGTTAGGGTGCAGAGGTGCAGTTTTGACCCGATCAACCGTAGTTTGGAGACTCGATTGATGTTTAACGACCTAACAATAAGCGGAAGAGTCAATTTGTATAACGACGCCAATCTTCAGAGAGAGCCAGTCACTCCCAGTCCAGAAGAAAGCTGTAATATGATTCTACGATTAAGAAAAGCAGGAATTGGGTGAGTTTCCCAGTGAAATATCACAAATATTTATTTCTTGTCATTCTGCTGTATTAAATAATAATTTAATTTCACTTTTGACGAGAAAATGGTAACTGAGAACGCAAAACTGCCTGATGGGATTCAAAAATTATTCGTTTATTGCTTTTTCTGGATTAGCATTCTTATATTATTAAACTTAGATTTACATTATTGAAAAAAAAACATAGGTATTATTTTTATATTGTAATGGCAAAACATTTTTCGATGCACGTCATCAATCATATTATCGACATTGACACTAAAGTCTATAAACCTGACTAAATTAAATTTTGGCAAAATTGTTTAAATTTGTTGTATAATTTAAGATACCGAGCAGCTCTTCATTTTACTTTATAGAGCAAATTGTAACAGATATTTTATTTAGATTAAATCTGCAAAAATTAGTTTAAACCGAATTTTATTATCGCTATGTTGGTCACATTGCGCCGTGTTCAGCAATGTCCTTTATTATTTGAAACTTATCCTAGTGTCAGTCATTATTTTGTACAATATCGTGTTGTTGTTGAATCTGTGTGAGCAATTCTCGTTTTTTTTGCCTATTTTCATAGTCTTTTTTTAAAAATTGCACTTTTAAGCACAAACAGTTCTTTTAAGAACTAAATTTTCGAGTTTTTGTATTGCATTTCTTGAAATTGTGTGTTGAAAATATGCCGAAGCATTTAAACAGACGAAGCAAAGAGCTTGTAGCTTCCCTGTTTTTCTAAAACTATTTTGAACGAGAACGTAACTATAAAGGTACTTTATTACCCTTGACTGCAGTCAGAAAAGTAAGTTTGATTGATAAGCACATTATACCACTTTCAAAGTTAGTTTTTATTAAATTCTGTGATTATTAGTTTGTGCATTAATAGCACCCTCTTACTTGTTATTACCACCTATGGCGTTGTAAGATGTACATAAATAAATAAATAACCCATAATAACGCTTATAATAATCTTCATAAAGGGCTAGTTTTTGCCAATATGTAATAAGTAAAATGAGCTATAAAACAAATAAATCAATTAATGACTAAAATATTAGTTATTAAATTAAAAATAAAACGAAAAACTCTATAAAAAATGATATAATAAATATGTTGTTTGTCAATTTTAAATTAAGATTATATCCATCACGTAAATCCATCACAATCTGGCAGCGCTGTCGCCATCGCTTGTCACTGAAAGTTGATCACGTGCATCGGAAATTGTTTTGCGATTACCATATAATATAAATCAGGTAGTCCAGGATATCAAGTTTGTAATTCTGTATATTTCAAAGTAGATTTAAAGTTTGATAATAATTAGGTACATATTTTTAAGTATAAGTACAATTTTAATTACCTTCAAAAATACATTTTAAAGTCAGAAGTCAGGGAAGATTTTAACTGATAACATCCAAAACGACCGAAAATACAATTTACTTGTGAATAAAAATGACAGATACGATACAACTGTCATCGTCATGTATCCTCTTATTAGACTATATTACTTTTTATATAAAGTTGTCAATATCCAAATATTGTAATATTCAAAACAATGACATATAATTTAATTTTATTAAGTAATTGATGCATTATATGGGATATACAAGCAACAGAAGTACAGGTCATAACTTTAGCATCTTACTACTATTACTATCATTCCTCGCTGACGAGTATTTGACACCCATCAGAAGATGGTTACGCACGGCTTTTTTTTTCATGAGCTTTTCTGTAACGGAAGAGCCCGATACGTTATGTTATCTCTCTTTCGCACTCCGGACATTCAAAAATCTCATTAATTTGTTGCCTCTTTACTTTTTGGTTGTCGTTAACTGAGTTTACAATTCTTCTCCATTGCGTTCTATTCTGCGCTGCTTCCTGCTTCCTCTAATTTTGCATGCTTATCCCTTTTAAGTTTTCACGGAAAATATCCTTGTACCTTTTGAGTTGTCCACCAGGTTTCCTCTTACCGTCTACAAGCTCACCGTAAAGCAAAGATTTTGGTAGGGGATTTTTTTGCATTCTACATACGTGACGAGCTCATTTTAAGCGGGACTTAGTAATTATGACTCCAGCGCTCCCGCAGCTATATGTGTTCAGTATTTTTTGTAATTGCTGTAACGGTTTTGCAACTAGAGTGCAGTCATCAGCGTATTGAAGTTCTGTGATGAATTTTATAATATGTTGAATAGGAGAGGCGCTAAGACACATGAGATGCCTCCTGTATTTGTTAGGAAGGGATCGGTCAGTTATCCATGATGCGACACTCTAGATTTGTTGTTGCGATGGAGGCTTTTACACACTATAAGAAATTTGTTGGGTACTGCGAACTTTTGCATAATTGTCCAAAATGCATCTCTGTATGCAGAGCCGAAGGCTTTTGTTAGGTCGCTGAAAAACGCAATATCAAGTTAACTCTGCTGCTACTAAAGTCCGTTTCAGATTCTGGGAGGATTTTTTCTATATGTGGGTGCAGGCCGTTTGACATAATTTTTCCAAGAACTTTTACTCTGATAGCTAGTAGCGAAATTCCCCGGTAGTTAATTAGTTTCCCGCAATCTGATGAACCTTTGTTCTTAAATATATTTGCTATATTCGCGTTGCGAAAGTCCTGAGGTACCTCTCCGCTTTCCCATATGATATCGAAGAGAGTTTTAAGGCAGTCTGTCGACTTCCAATCATTTCCATGGAATACTGCGTACATATAAAAATAACGAAGCTGACCAGCTGGTACAAAATAAAAATCTTTAACTTAACGCTAGATATTCATAACGTTTTAATGTGCCTTTGTCATGGGATGTGAATAGTATATCCTATATACAGGGTCCGGCAATAGTGCGTCGGGCATCTGTAGCTCCTAGATTAAAAAACTTGAGAATTTTGTTTAAGTGCAAACCTAAACTATGTACCAGGATGTATTTAAGGAAAATATTTTAACTTCTATAGGGTGGACCTTGATGATTTTGCGAGTGGACCTTGATGATTTTTCTTAAATGGAACACCCTGTATATTATTGCATTTTTGGCTTCCTTTCGGATCACTTTACATAATCCTAAGATATGAATAAACATATTTTAATAGTTTCAGAGATATTAAGAAATAAATCAAAAATATATATTTTACAGCCTTTCTTAAAAAAATTATTAAAAATACAAGAAACGTTCTGAAATCAAAACTATATTAGGTATATACTTTAGATGGTCTATACTTACTTTGCTATAAATATGAAAATCGTAAATTATACAGGATGTTCAAAATTCTACGCCAAACTTACTAAAATATAAAATAATTTTTCTTGGTATTTTTAAATGGAACACCCTGTATATTATTTTCTCAATAGACGGAGAATTAAAAAATGAACATTTTTTTTATTTAGAGTATTTCAAAATTTTTAACAGTTTCGCAGATATTTGCGGTTTTATATTTTATATTTTACATTTTCCACAGTAAATTTTTACCAAAGCCACCTAATGATTTTTTCTCGTATTTTACCATTGAAAGCGCCATATGAAATAATACTGCGTGTATCTGCGAAACCGTTAAAAATTTTGAAATACTTTAAATACAAAAAATGTTCATTTTTTTACTTTCCATCTAATAAAAAAATAATATACAGGGTATTCCATTAAAAAAAAACAAAGAAAAATATTTTATATTTTAGAAAGTTTGGCGTAGAATAGTAAACATCCTGTATGATTTACGATTACCATATTTATAGCAAAGTAAGAACAGACCATCTAAAGTAAATACCTAATGTAGTTTTGATTTCAGAACAGTTCTTGTATTTTTAATATTTTTTTTAAGAAGAGCTGAAAAATATATATTTTTGATTTATTTTTTAATATCTCTGAAACTATCGAAATATATTTATTCATATCTTAGTTTATGTAAAGTGATCTGAAAGGAAGCCAAAAATGCAATAATATACAGGGTGTTCCATTTAAAAAAAATCATCCAGGTCCACACACACTTTTTTGAGCCACCCTATAGAAGTTAAAATATTTTCCTGAAATACATCCTGGTACATAGTTTTAGGTTTGTACTTAAACAAAATTCTCAAGTTTTTTATTCTAGGAGCTACAGATGCCCAACGCACTATTGCCGGACCCTGTATATGACTTTTCTGTCTGTAGAAAGCTATAACAATTGAAGGAGACTGAGAATCCAACATAAATGAATAATTTGAGATATGATGCTAATTTCCAGTGATATACGCCGATTGACGTCTTCGGAATGCAAATCGTATGCGTTAAAAATTTTATATACTTATACAAAAATACCTCAATTTGTTCTTCTAACCGTATCTATACCGAGAATAATTAGGTATCTTAATAATAAAAACATAAAAAATCAATTCTTTGGAATGCATGTGGTATTTATTCGCCGTTTTCTTACTAAAGAGCCCAATTGCTCCATATCCTTTTATCCGAAGCAGAAAAACAAATATTGTCACACAGCGTGGTTCCTTTTTCATTTAAATTAAACCTCTACATCCTTTCGGGTACTACTACTAGAACGACACCAAAACCTAGTTTATTTACCACGTGTTTGGTATAAAAACAGCATTTCTTCATTTTAAATGAAAAAAAGAATAAGTACTGTGTAATATATTTGAATATTACTTATTGTAGAATAAATGATGAAATCAAATTGTTAGTTTCTAAGTGTAAAATACCTTATTTATATATTAAGGAATGTGGTTTGATAGTTTATAAATATATGTTAAACTTGAGAATAAAGAACTTCACTTCGCAGTTGGCTTTCGTTATATTATTAAATACATCTAAATTAATAAATATATAAATTATAAAATCTAAGTACTTTACACTGACCGACTGCGTCAGTGTAGGAATCAGAATCTGAATCCGAAAAATTATGTTCGTCTTCACCAATCAAAAAATGATTAAAAACTTGTTTATTTGGTACCTTTTCATTCTTCTTATTGCATACTGTGCTGATGTGACCCTTTTGTTTACACTGATGACATATTGCATTCTTGAAGAAACAAGCTGATTGGCAGTGATTGTTTTTCCCACAGTGACAGCACTTGCTTCTTCCTGCCTTGGAACAAACGTTATCTTGAGATTCTTCGCGCCTATTTATGTTGAATTTAGTCGTGGATTTTCCTCTGTGTGATATTTTCAGAACATTTCCAGGTGCAATTAAATCGGAATTTCTTGCCGCTGCTTCTAAATTGAAAGCTATGTCGCATGCCTTTTTATATGTCAGATTCTTCTGTTGAAAAAGTTGTTGTCTTATAACATCGTTTTGCAAGCCGAAAACTAACTGATCCCGTAGCTGAGTTTCCAGATTTGATTCAAAATTGCAATACTTGGATAATTTCTTCAATGCCGCAATGTATGTAGCAATTGTCTCACCACTTTCATGTTTTCTCTATCTGAATTTATACCTTTCTGCTATTTCAGATGGTCTGGGTTGTAGATGATTTTCCATTAATTTAATTAAATCACCGAAAGCCATCTCTTCTGGTAATAGCGGACTACACAAGTCAACCATCAACTCAAATGCTTCATCACCCACTATAGTTATTAAAATTGCAGTTTTTAGATTTTCTTCCACGTTATTTACTTTAAAATATTGGCAGATTCTGGTCACATAAGAACTCGAATTACTTTCACCCACTCTGAATGCTTCTAATTTTCCAATTGACATTTTCTTTAAACTTAATTTCACTTAATAATTTATTTATTGGTTTCGTTTACCGACTGCGCTAGTGTAAAGTACTTAGGATTTATAATTTATATATTTATTAATTTAGATGTATTTAATAATATAACGAAAGCCAACTGCGAAGTGAAGTTCTTTATTCTCAAGTTTTACATATATTTATAAACTATCAAACCACATTCCTTAATATATAAATAAGGTATTTTACACTTAGAAACTAACAATTTGATTTCATCTTTTATTCTACAATAAGTAATATTCAAATATATTACATACTGTAGTTTGTTTTACTGTACTGACAGTAAAACAAATTGTATTTCTATTTATTATTAGAATTCAGTTTGTTTGATTTTAAGACCTTTTGGTCATATTGCAAAACTATAAAGGGCCTTTTTTCTGCCTCCATAATGAAAACCTCCACATATTTTTGCATCATCCTGTATATAATTTTTAGCTAATTTTAAAAATATATAATATAGAATACTTTACACTTACCGTTATACAGGGAGATGCAAAAAGAAATATTTCATAATCATTTTAAGAGGCACACTCAATTTACAATTTTCCTATTTTCTATATGAAAATAGTGAAAGGATTTTTCAATGCAATTTTTATAAGTTATAAATCATAACAAAATAAGAAAACCATGCCAACTAAGTGAAATTAGTCAATAAAGATAAGAATTGGCTATAACTCAGTAATTTTTTGAAAAAAAAATATTATAGCTTATATCGCTGAAAAGCTTAAAAGATGGCGCTTTTTGTGAAGTTGTGGCCAACTATGGTTTCCATTTAAAAAAGCATATGTTTGTGTCATATGTCAAAAATGACAGGCTTTAGAAAAAATCGGAGAACACAAACTCGTTAGGGATGTGATTATCTACAACTTTTATCTGAAAACTTTTTGTCTAAAATAAATTATAATGGAAAAATATTCCTGTGATAACCCTATCACACGTCCCTGGTAAATCTATCAGAAGTGTCTAGCTCCAGCAGGCAACTATTAAGCTTGACCAATCAGGTTGGTTAGCGTGGTTATTTGGAGGGTGTTAATTCATTTGTGTTTGTCAAAAACTCTAATGTGATTGGTTGAGCTTAATAGTTGCCTGCTGGGGCTAGACACAAATAATCTATCGACACTTTTTCAGCAATAAAATATGTCCCACTTATGATATACTCTGAATCAGGAAAGAAGACGATTGCATAATGATATTATTTTGTAGTAAAGACAATCGATTTACCATTTCAAATGTGTTAGAAAGAGTCATTCCCTAATTCGTACATTTACATATATTTCGTATAATTTATGATATTATGCAATCGTCTTCTTTCCTGATTCAGAGTATAGTTACTTTTACTCTCAAAATTTAGCTAGAAGCACTTGGAAGAAAAATATAATAAATCGAAAAAAAAATGAAAACTTTAACCCCCTGTAGCTACGAAGCAAAGCAGAATCAGACCTATGGTGATATGAATGATAAATTTTATTTTTACATGAGGAATATCCCGACGAGAGATGGCACATGTTTTCCGAAACATACTGTAGAGCCTTTTCTTTCTGATTTTCCTTCTAATTACGTCGTCATCAGATTGTATTTTTTATGACACGGTACATCAGCAAATTTAAAATCTTGCGGTCAGTGGATAGTCTGGACATATAGATTAATATACAAAAGATCTAAACAGGTTGAATTTACATTCATCAGTTTCATCAAAAGATGTAATAAAAGTCTAATATTCTGACTAACTGTTTGTTTTTTTATGATACTATATGTGGTTAATTTTTATTCTTTTCGCAGATTTCACACCGAACCCATTCGACGTGAAAGAGGCCAGTTCAATGTGAAAACGGATAGTCACTTTTTGGAACCGGGGTTTATTTCGGTGTACGCTTACGGGTGTGAACCCAGTCTTAGGAGGAGGGAATTTAATGGTGACATAGAGAGGTTAGAGGAGGAAGACGAAGAGATGAGCAGGGAGATGGAGGATATATTTTTGAGAGGTTAGTGAACTGAACTGAAAATGTATATCATCATCATCATCATCATTTCCAGCTTATTCAACCATTTCCAATTATGGTCTAGCGTCCCTCACATATTTAGATAATAATCTCTTTCTAATTGGGTCCATTCTTGGCTATGCGTGGTTATCACTGGAATATTTTTCTAAAAAAACATGTACGCCACTGACTTTTTTTCTCTTGTTAGCAAAATAGTGTAAGCAGTTTAATGCCGATTAAAAGTTGTCTCTTGATATTTTGTCGATTTCGGCCTTCTTGATGAGATAAACGCAATTTTATTAATTTGCCTTGGTCCAAGTCTAATAGACCGAGAGCTTCAGAGCTGGCTACATAAAAAACCTTATCATCGTTACATGGCTAATTTTTTGTGTGAAGTATCCTTTTATCCAAAAAAATCCTTATGGGATTTTCGCCACTGCACTGCAAGAAAAATCTACAAAATAAAATAGTTATTTTTTGTAAACACTTCTGCGTTAAACCTAAACGGACGCTGCTTGTCAGAAGTTGTGTTTACAGTAATAAAAATTTGCCTAACAAAGAAAAAAATGCTTAACGTTTCGGAAAGTTTTCTCTTTCCGTCGTCGGAAGCAAAAAAATTTAAAGAATCAAGAAGAGAGGAAGACGAAGAGATGAGCAGGGAGATGGAGGATATATTTTTGAGAGGTTGTGTTTACAGTAATAAAAAAAAGTCCGTTTAGGTTTAAGTGTTTACAAAAAATAGCTATTTTATTTTGTAGATTTTTCTTGCAGTGCAGTGGCGAAAAACCCATAAGGATTTTTTTGGATAGATGAATCCGCCACATAGGTATAGACATTTTTTAAGTATCCTTTTGTGTAGCCATTGTGAAATAGTCATGTCTGCCAGCGCGATCCCGGGGCTTAAAGCGGGGGCGGCCAGTCGAAAGGGTGAAATTTTGACACAATATTATACACGCATAAATAGGTACAATAGGTACACGAGTTATAATTGCCAAATAGCTTTTATTTATTATTAGGAAACGTGTAAAATTGTTGACAGACATTTTTCTCGTGGCTGAAATGCCGGCAGACAACGCGAAAGAGGCATAGAATTTTGTCAAAAGAAAATCATCGCATACATGCATGTCGGTTGGTGGAATGTCATGTTTATTGTTAATTAATTTAAAAAGCCGTATGCAAAAGGGCAGACAAAAAAATCGTTATTGAAATAATAAAAAAATATATTTATAATATAATCGTATATTATATGATTTATATTTATCTATACCTTTGAATAAGAAGACTAAGGAAGGAGGATATCAAAAATCTTAGGTATACCGCGATGGGCCTCAAATATGGCCGACTTAAATTCCGGTTTATCAGTGTCGTTCTAATTTTATTTAAAAAATGTAAAACTATGATGTAGGGTAGACGTGGGGTAGACTCAATAATTTGTTGTTTTATTTTACGTTGTGAATAAATGTTGGTAGTTATTAAAATTGTTATAAAATATATAATTCTAATAAAAATAGATAAGTTATAATAAGTATTTATTAACACAAACATCCGATACGCTACTGAAGCAGGTAAGTCAAATTAACGTATCTAAATTCTTTGACATCTAATCTTTGACAAGTAATAAATAAAAGCTAATATGCAAGAAAAATATATAATTTAGTTAATTTAAGTGAATTTCATAAATTATCGGTTTACTACACGTATGTATATTATATAGTCACTTACTAGCGAAAAGTTGCTCCATTATTTCACTCAATTTTTGCCGAGATCTACCGCACGCTACACAACCAACTATTTTAGAATCTTTTTCGATAAATCGCGATAGTGTCACTCTTAATTTAAGTTCTGCCACAATTTCCATCTAGATTTACTACCTTTATACAACTATCAGTAGTAGAATAAATAATAAATAACATAAAATAAGCTCCGTAAAGACTGACAAATCCACAAAATTTCAAATCAAATTCAAATGTGTCAAATGAATCGTCAAACAGAACTGTCAAGGATCCCCACCCTAGAGTGCTTTTATGGTGGTTTTTCCGCCCACCATGCATGAATACATGGATAGCATTATGCTCCTTCCTTAGTCTTCTTATTCAAAGATCTATACTTAAATGGATGAGGCGGCCAGCGTTCCCTGTATAAAGCGCTAGAGTAATATCGCGCTTTTGATAACTGTCTGCAGCTGATTGAGCCACGATCTTTTTGTCTACCCTTTTGCATACGGCTTTTAAAATAAATAAATATGACATTTCACTAATCGGCATGCAAATATGCCATAATTTTTTTCATTCTTCAAATTTCATTTTTTAATAATTTTTAAAATTTCATGCCTCTTTCGCGTTGTCTGTCGGCCTTTTAGCGACTAGAAAAATGTCTGCCAACAATTTTCCACGTTTCTTGATAATAAATAGAAGCTATTTTCGCAATTATAACTCATGTATCTTATAATATTTTTAGTGTCAAAATTTAACCCTTTCGATTGGCCGCCCCCGCTTTAAGCCCCGATATCGTGCTGGCAGACATGACTATTTCATAATGGCTACACAAAAGGATACTTCACAAAAAAAATTAGCCATGTAACGATGATAAGGTTTTTTATGTAGCCAGCTCTTAATACCAACCTTTAAAAAAATTTAATATAATTAACTTGCGAAAGTTTTAGATTAGTACTCATTGATTCTTCATCAAAAAATATGAAAAAAAGTTCCTATAAACATGGGTATGAAAATGCATAGTTTTAGAGTTATTGGATGTTAAAACTTTTTAAAATCAGGTTTTTTGTAATTATCCTAAATACCATTATTTTTTTATTTCAAATTACTGTAGATTATTATATATTAGGTAAAATATATAACTTATTAATTTTATCTTTATTTTAATTTTATTAATTGTGATTAATAAAATTGCGTTTGTCTCATCAAGGAGGCCAAATTCGACAAAATATCAAGGATAATTTTTAATTGGCACTAAACGACCTACAAAATTTTGATATTAAAAGAAAAAAAGTCAGTGGCGCACATGCTTTTTTTTGAAAAATATTCCAGTGATAACCCATATGCAAGTCCCTGATGAATTTATCGGCACTTTTTTAGCATGAAAATATTACTTATAGTAACTTTTACCCTCAAAATTTCATTCGAATCACTAAAAGTACTTGGAAGAAAATTATAGTGAATCAAAAGATTATTACAAGTCTTTAACACCCTGCAACTACGAAACAAAGCAGAATCGGACCTATGTTGATATGAAAAATAAATCTTATTTTTACATGAGGAATCTCCACGAGAGATGGCACATGTTTTTTGAAACACCCGGTATATTGGCAATAATTTCTATATAAGGCATGTCTATTCCTTGTTTCGTTGGGGCTTTTATTATCGCCTTAGGATATATCGAGTCGAACTCTTTCTTGAAGTTTATAAACGCTATGGCGAGTGGAAGTTCTTATTTTTTTGATCGATACATACACTAATTAGCACGGCATCTAATCTAATAGTTTCTCTTAGTGTATGTATGTGATTAATAATTGTGCTAAAGCAGCTTCTATAAAGCCTGAATCCTTGTTATCGTTGTTTGGTTTGGTTTGATACTACTTATTTTATTACTTTTTTTCAGGAATAAGGTCCCTTCTTACCAGCTACATGCAAAAGGAACTTCAACCCGCTATTAAAGAAACATTAATGAAAAATATGGGATACACCGTATCCTATGGATAACACAAAACAATATGCATGAATAAATAGAAAGTTTAATGAAATTTTAAGGCCAAGTTATCCATAAAATGTTATGGTTTCGCCTGATAAAGGATCTTTATAGCGATTGCCAGGATTTATTAGATTCAAATGTAAAAAATAAATCTTTTTACAATTCGTCTAGTGATTATAAGATTGTAGTATTTATTAATAAAAAGTTCCTTTGTATAAGGTGTTTTATTTCTAAATATAATTAATTTTAATACGTATATTACATAAATACCGTTTGATAAAAAAAAACAGCGTCAAAGACGGCTGGGGAATGACAATCGATTACGCAATTTTAGCGGTGTCAGTCTCTAGATGTTATACAAAAAATTGACATAAAAGTATTCAAAAATTAAGTATAAGAAATTAATATAAAAATAATAGAGAAATTAAAAAAGGATAGAACGTTTTCAAACACAAAGAAAATCTATTTCCAAAAAATTATCTATTTTCGAATTTTAAACCACACCATTTAAAAATCAAAATAAAATTGAGTTCGGACCTAGCAAATGTCGTTTAGGGAATGACCTCGCCAAAATTATCATCATTTAATGGGAATTGTATTAGAATTTTTTAACTATCAAATTCAAAACCACTTGATCATAAAACTTTTTGATCGTAGACAGTATTAGCATAAATTACTAATAATAATTGAAATTAATTTTTATTTTATTTTATTCAAATAATGTGTTTGAAAATTTTAGCTCCACGAATTTTCTCGACAAAATGGTGAATGCGCGGATTTTACTTTTAACAAAAAATAGAAATAGTCTGGTATTAGAATTTGCTGTGCATCTTCTAACGGCTTATACAGTCTGTCACCGGATTGTCTTTACAAGAGGAAAAACTTTATTATTATTGATATTTTCAGAAAAATGCATTTTTCATAAAAATTTTTGCTTGTTCTAAAATGGTTAATTCCGTAATTCTTTTCCAAATTCCCATACCGTTTTAGAGAAAATTAAAAAAAAAACATGAAAATATGGTTGAGTTTCTGAAGTCCTAAAAATCGAAACTCGTTTCTATGGTAATGTAATTTCGTTTTCATTCTTTGATAGATTGCATATAGATTGTTACTGATAGAATTTTAATTAACGTCATATTTTTTGCTGTTTTAAAATGTTAAAGATGCACAAAATTTATTTAGTTCAATGGTAGGGAAAGGGTGATAATAGTTATCGGAAAATGTAAAATTTTAACAACAGCAAAAAATATGACGGTAATCAAAATTATTAATAAAGTCAAAGAATGAAATCTAAATTATTACCATAGAAACGCGTGTTGATTTTTAGGACTTTTTTTTAAGATTTTTAGGAATTCAACTATGTTTTCAATGTTTTTTTTTTTCATTTTCTCTAAAACGATATGGAAATTTGTAAACTATAAACGGGATTAACTATTTTAGAACAAACAAAAATTTTAATGAAGAATGCATTTTTCTCAAAATGTCAATAATAAAAAAGTTGTTTTTCTTCTTGTAAAGATAATCCGGGGCAATACAGTATATGTATAAAGTCAAAAAAATTATTTATTTTTTTAAATATGAGTAAAATACCTGTGGTAATACAAAATATCACTTAAAACATTTAAGAAACATTTTATACATAAATTACAAGTATCATAAAATGTATAATTTTTTGTCAAATTTTTGACAAAGACATGACTGAACATTTTAAAACCAAAACAAAAACTAATTTCAGTCATAGTTATTTATTATTATAACATTATAAGTTATAACACTTTAGATTATTATAAAATAAAGTTTTTTAATGCAAGAATTTTTTTTGACAAAATGGCGAATGTAAAATATTTACTCTTATTAGTATTTTGGTTATTCAATTAACCGTTAGATGGCACTGGCAGATACATTTTGATATGATTTTTGATCAAAGATTTTGATACACATTTTAATCATTTTGATAGAGATATCCTTGTTCTATCAGGAATTTATAATTAATAATTATTTAAGTTATCAAATTTGGGTATTGTCACAAACTAAATTTGTGGTATTGTTTACTACTAGATGGTTCCAGCAGTATTAATAGTTATACAATAAACTAGTTAGGCGCGTAAATTATATGAGGGGTTGAGTTTCAAAACTCTTCTTATCCATTTTTGGTAATTTTGAGTATAAGTATCTATAGTCTAGTATTGGCAGCCCTGCACAATATTCAGCATCATTTTTGTGGCATAACTCATTCTATCCTGTATAATTTACATGTTAAAGTCGTGCATTTGCACCAAGACTAATTAAGTTGCTGTTCGTTTTTTGCGATTATTGAAAATTAACGAATTTGGATAAAACTAGTTTTGGAACTCAGCCCCTCATATAGTCTATAACTTTGTGACCGGATTATTTCTGGACATAGGCTGGGTATTTTGTAAAACTATTTTTTTACATTATAATTTTAAATTCTTTTTTGGTTTCAAAGTTTTTTATTAGCATTTTTGCTTCCAAACAAAGGCAGGAACAGGGATAGGAGTATTAGACTGAAAACTAAATATTCCGAACCAATAGGCACCTTCCCCGAGCATCCTTCAGGCAGAAATTTACGCTATCGAAAGATGCGTACAACTTATCTTAGATAGAAACTACCGGAAACAAGAAACAACTATCATATCCGATAGTCAAACAGTTTTAAAAGCGACCAACTCAGTAACCATTAATTCGAAGTTGGTCAAAGAATAGCCTAGAGAAGCTGAACAGACTGGGCAAAGAAAATAAAGTCTTTCTACTCTGGGTGCCTGAGTAGAGGTAGATGGCCGATTCTACGCCAGGCGGAGGCGGAGGGAGTGACGTCATCAGCGACGTTATCAGCTAAGAACATGTGCTCACCAAGTGATAGAAGGCAATGAAGAATCAAATGATCTAGCTAGGAAAGGAGCAAACACTCCACTAACTGGACCTGAACCGTTCTGTTTTCCAAGCGGGAACCAACTGAAAGCGGAACTGAAGAATCTGGAAGACTCCATCCGTAACCTGGAATGGGTGTCCTCCAACGGTCTAAGACACTCGAAAAAGCTCATCAGAATTTACGACCGAGAAAAATCAGAGATTTTCCTTGATTTAGGTAAAACCAATGTCTGCTGTCGAACACCCCAACGAACACCCCAGTAGGCCGAAGCTGAGAAACAACGACGAATACAGATTCTGTGGGGAAAATGGGGAAACATCAGAACACCTTATAACTGAGTGCGCCGAGACGACGACCGTTCGTGCCATGAACTTCTTCAGATACTGTTCTGATACTGAGACTGTTGTATGATAAGTTATAACTCAAGAAAGGGGAACACACAATAGATCTGTAAGCTCGGTGTGATTAACTCCTCTCCTAAACATTCTACATTAACAAACTAAATGGATATTTGAGGTGAATTTGCATTGTGGGACCTGGTTGGGCAAGCTCCAGAAATTCCAGAACTCCACTTTTACAATTGAAATTAAAAAGTTCTTCCAATTTTGGACGGTCATAATGGATTAGAACATGAGCTCAGGAATCATAAAACAAACGAATAATAGAAGGCAAATTGATGAGCGTCCCGTGTGCCGACAATGCCGACTCGGACGGCGCAAATGACATTTCCGATCGTGATTTATCGCGGCCGTTTAAGATTCCGGCGACAATCGGCGGCGACTGTGTGGCGCCAGTCTGGCGTAACGCGAGGAAACAATGAGCTGACGTTGCTTACCTTTCGCGCTGACCAGGTACAGTACCGGACAACGATAACGTTCGAGACGACGACGCGACGGTCGTAGGAATCGAAAAAAAAACGTGGCAAAATTCGATACTGCCGCATTTCCGGCGTTAACGTAGGCATTATTTGGTTTGGACTGCAGTTCTTATCTGTTTAAATAAAAATGAAATAAGTTAAAGTAAAAAGCTGTTAAGATGGCCAAAGCGATAACAGCCTATCAAAATAACTCAAAGTTGCATTTATACATGTATTATACAATAGATCGAATAAGATCTGAGAAGCCAAATAAACAGAGCTTTGCATCTCTTAAAAAAGATTTGCATTACAAAATGTGAAATTAAATTATCATTAATACAACAGAATACTAAAATAATACTTGTGTTATATTAATGGCACACAATTTTTCAAACTTTTTGATGGCATCCCAGCGGAACTTTGCCCCAATTTAACCATGTTTGTATCTACACACACCGGAAAAATCTAGGGATATCATTTTATTAAAGTTAAAAATAAATGTTTTGAATAAACAACCACATATTTGTAGGCCGATTCTTTCGACTTCGATTGAAACGAAGTAGTCACACTAGTTATTTCTAAATTTGGGATATTTGCAGAAGTGTTTGTGCATTTTTTGTGAAATGTATAAAAACCACCTAGCATCAATTGTTCGCATTTAACCAGTATTGGCTATGTTATTATGATAACTGACCAGAATTCATTCAAATAACTCTGTTTAGTATTAAACGACATTATGGAGCGTAGACATCTTAACAGAGACGTAATGCTAAGGGCCATGGGTATGCTCGAAGCTGGAATGCGCCAAATCGACGTAGCTAGAGCATTAAATACAACGCAAAGTGTAATATCGCGATGCACTTAGCACGCTACCGTGAAAGTGGTGATGTTGCTGAAAGGCACACAGGGCGACATCGCATTACTACCCTTCAGCAAGATCATTTTTTATAATTAAATGCTCGACGCCGACCAACTCTTACAGCACCAGAGCTTAGTTTAATTCTCCAGGAAACACATAATGTAACCGTTAGTCCTGACACTGTTCGCAATAGATTAAGAGAGGTCAACTTAAGAAGCAGACGCCCCTGGAGAACTCAACCCTTAACGAGAGGAAATCGAGAGGTACGATATTTGTGGGCTCAAGATCATGTTCAGTGGTCGAATGAACAATGGGCCAATGTTCTCTTCACGCATGAGTCACGCTTTGGAATTCATCCGGATTCGAGAAGGCTTAGGGTATGGAGAGAACCGGGAAATCTTATTCGGTTGGATCATGTTCAGGAAGTGCACGCTTATCAAGGTGGAACAGTTATAGTCTGGGGAGGAGTCCAGTTAGGCCGAAAAACCGATCTCGTTTTTCTTGAAAGGTTTCTAACAGGAATCACATATCGTGATTTAATTCTTGAGCCTGTCGTGTTACCATATGCCAATGATTTTGGGAGAAACT